ATTATAAAACTTTACAACACAATGCAATATAATAGTACCCATTTGGTCTCAGTTTAATCTGCTGCGCTGGAAAATGTTCAAAGGAAAACAAGACTTAAAAAAAGACCACCCTTTTTTTGGGGGTTTCCCCCTTTTGGAAGGCTTGCCTTTAAAATTCTTGGGTTTCAACCAAAAAAATAGCACTAGTTATGCAAAAACACAAACAATGTAACAGTTGGTGAAGCCATAGATTGACAGCCTGAAAGTGCCTAAAAGTAATGTGAACTTCAGAATTTTCTTTTTAAAACTGCTGGAAATATATATATTCATATATTTTTTGTCAAAGAAGCTGCACAAGTATTCATAAAAATGTTTGGGGGAAAAAAAGGGGAAACTTAAAGTCAGACTGTGAAGTGGCAGCTATTGAAAGTGAATCCATGCCTCTTGGAATCTGAGGTTCTGCTGGTCAGGTTGGGTGGCAGTTGGTCCTTGCTCCCCTCTTGTGGTTCTTATAAATGGGTGATAACATTTCCAGGAGATGGATGTGATGGTGAAGCTTTAAGAGTAAAAGTATGTCAGATTGTCATCGCTATGGAGTTACTTATCCATAAGGTATGATAATCACTTCAGTTGAGTTTTAACTGCAGCAGGTGGAGCCAAAGAACCGCAATCATTTTTTTTATTGTTTTGTTTTTGCATGCACCTTAGCATTGCTCGCTACTATGTGTTCTAAAGCTGGTGGATTTTTGGTCACCAGTTCAGCAGCTGGATCCTTCAAATTGGCTTGTGTCAGCTTAATGTAATGTCACGTGACAGATCTCTTTGAGGACTTTGTGACCGTTGTAAAAATGCAGATATTGAAGAATCCAGCCTCTGAACTAAGAGACAGCTACTGTCCTACTGAGGATAGGGTGGAGTAGGGGAGGGATCGATGCCTTCAACTTGCTCCTTTTTCTGTAACATCAAATGAACCTCAGGGGGAGGGGGTGTACATAAAACTGATGTCAGCTGATGAGGATGATCGTAACGGCTCTGGAGGAAGCTGAGGAGTGCGGGGGTTGTTGATGTGAGCAGACCACAGCCATCACTGGGTCTCCGTTAGCACTTTGAGAGAGAGTCCTGCGGCCTTGGCGGCTGACAGCACTGACGGGCTGTGTGTCTGCTTGCTGGACAGTTCCGGGTGTGCGTGGGGGTGCTTTGCTGCGAGCGTGCGGAGGTCCCCGCGTTTGCCGGCAGACTGCTCCGGAGTTAAGCGCGTGTGTGAGAGTGTATACGCTGGCGGAGACAAGGGGAGACGCGCCGAAGGGGAGGTGGGCGGCGGGGAGCAGCCCGGGGAGGGGGGCCGCTGGTGCTGGAAGAGACGGTGTCGGGCGGGAGAAGGGGACGGGGGAGAGTCTATAGCACTTAAATCTGAAGAAGTTGGGCTGGGGCAGCCTCCTCCTTGAAGGTAGCGAATGCACTTCTTTTTCCTCCTAGGAACAGTCAGAGAGAGTTATCTGTGAATAAAGTGTGGATGGTAAATGTCAGCAGGCTTTAGTGAAGATGCAACATTCACACTGAGGTCAATGAGCAGGGACACAAATGGACACAGTGAACAATAGCAGTATGTGGATGTCTCTACGTGAAGGAGGTCAGTCCCAGAGCAATGTAAATGCCACCATTTGCACATTGTGAGTCTCTGTGCGTTTATGGCAAAAGGGTGGTTTCTGTTAGACACGCAATCTGCATCACAACAGTGTCAGATGCAGATTGGCTCACTACAGCGTCAGTCTGTGTTGCTCCAGGACGACAATAGCAGCTGACCAGTCGTGCTGTTATTTAATTCAGTTTTGCTTATATAGAGCCAAATCACAACAACTGTCACCTCAAGGTGCTTTATATTACAAGGCAGAGATCCTACAATCAAATGAGAGCCTTTGAGCGAGCAGTTGGCGACAGTGGGAAGGAAAAACTCCCTTTTAACAGGAAGAAACCTCTGGCAGAACCAGGCTCAGGGAGGAGCAGCCAACTGGTTAGGGGTGAAGGGGCGGAGACAGGACAAAAAACACACTGTGGAAAGTGAGGCGGAGTTTAATGACAACTAATGAATAAATGCAGTGATGTGTAAGGATATAGTGAGAGCTTCAGTGACAGAGATTTGAGAATGAGGGCAAAGTTTGCTTTCCTGCTAGCTCGTCATCTTATCCTTAAAATTGGAAAGGTCTCGTGTTCCCTTCCCATATGAGATGGCTGAGGGATGTCATGACCTACTTGAAGTTAAGAAAGCTTAAATACGCTAGTTGTGTAAGACATGGGCCCTGCTTACATGGGAATGTCCATAACAAATGTCTTTGTATCCAGGTTTGTGATAACCAATTTTTCTTCGTTTATGCTCGTTTGTGTGTGTGTGCTGCTGTTTTAGTTGTTTGTCGTTCTTCTTTTATGCACCCCTATTCTGAAATTGTGTCATTTATATTGAAATGTTGACTGCATTACATTAGAACTGAATCGCAGAGCAGACTGTAAGGGAACTTTCTTCCTTTCAAAAGGGACTTTTCCCTTCCCACTGTCACCAAATGCTTGCTCACGAGGAGTCTGATTGTTAGGTTTTTTTCTCTGTAGTATTGTACGGTCTTTACTCTCTTGAGGCGACTGTTATGTGATTTGGTGCTGTATTAAAAAACAAAATTCAAACAGTACTGTATAAAATCTGATAAAGAGAAGTTTAAAAAAAAGAAAACACAAAAGTCAGACATGATTTTCTTTTTGTTTTTGTATTTTTACTTCTGTTTTCAGTTGAAGTTTTTAATTTAGCTTTAACATAGTGTAGTTTAAAATAGCCCCTTCTATCCGAAAGGCTTGAAAAGCCCTATTGGTCAGTTGAAACGACAGTCCTGTAGCAGCACTAATATGATGTCATAGGAATGACAGCAGTACAGCTCTAATCCCAGGTTTGAAAAACTGAGATATAATAAAAAAAAAAAAAAAATAGATAAAGATAAACATCTGATACAATGTTGTGCAGGAAATATCTTTAATTTTGGTCCTTGGCAATAGATAGTTGCAGCTGACCAGGGATGCATATAATTATTAATAGTAGGGAATCTAAATCTTCATATCTTTTCTGAGCATCTTAGATTTAACCCCTGACAAATACTGATCCCTATTAAAATGAAACTAAACCAAAACAAGAAAAGCCGAATAAATCAAATTTAAATGAAAAAATTCAAAATATAATAACTCTCATCTGAATTGTGGACACCGGACCTTTTGTGAAATAAAGCAACTCGTTAAAATCTTTAAAAAGATTTCATTTTTTGAACTCTTCTCGCACCTTTATGCTAAGCTAAACTTGTGAATGTCTGCTTCTATAGTTGATGCAAAGGCTATAAACCTTGTTGATCCTTTCATCCACACAAAATCCTGATAGCTGAAACCAGGGAATACCACTCGACTTTAAAATGAGTTTTAAAAAATCACCCCTGTGATTATATTAATGCTATTAGCATGAATGAATGAACTCCTTTGATTAAAGATTTAACACACAGAGCCTGCGAGTTGACACTTTCACTTAACCTAAGCACCACAAAAGTAGTATTAGAATTGCGTAGCGATTAGTTTGGAGTTTCAGTTTTCTACTTCTTTTTGTTCTGAACCGAACGTATTACATGTGTCTAATAGGCAATCAGCAGTAACCCTGCTGTGCTTTGTGAGGTGTTATACTTAAAAGCAGACTTGTGTACCGCTGAGTGCAGCATCAAAGCAGTTAACAGGATCCCATGATCATTACCAGAATATGATATGAGTCACCGGGTTTAACCGCAAGGAAAGGCGCTAGGCCATATTTAGAGAGGGAGAGAGGCAGGAAGAGTGCAATAGAAAGTGATTTCTAAATGTCAGAGTTCACCATCAAAAGGCGCCCGTTACCACATCGCATGAATGGAGAAAGTTGAAAGCAGATGGGCATGAGAATGCCGTCAAAATGCAAAGCTGCAGGGAGCGCG